AGTGGTGAAGGTGTTCATTTTATTTTACTATAAAAAGCATTTTACTAAGTGTATGCACATCAAAATTTCATGTTAAACCCTCAAGTCTATACCATAAAAATGAATTTAAAAAAATAAATAAGCCACAACTATGCCAACAAACAAAACAGATTGATGGTTGCCTGAGTCTTGGTGCAGTGTGTGGTTGATAATGAGATAACATAGGAGAATTTCTAAGTTTTAATTTTTATACATAAGTTACATCATAAATAAARTATAAAAATTGGAAATTAAAAGTCATTCACAAAATGATAGGACTTCCGTTACTTTATCACCAACATCATTATTGCTTTTTGAAGATAAAACAAAATCATATACAACCTCCAACTCTCCTCAAAAACAATAACCTCCCCAGATGCTACTGCTCAGACATTCCTCACTTCATAGCTCTGCTACAYTGGACAAGTGACTTGACTACCRTCATCCTCTTTCCTCAATTGCAAATGAGTAGAACTGATCATGATTAAATGGTAGTACCAKAAAAGTGTCTGAAATACACMAGCAAGTGAACAAATATGAACTTTTAAGTTCTCTGACTGCTTTTCCTGGTACACATATACTATAGCTATACTTTGGACTTTATGTGTCCCCCAAAGTACTACCTATTAAATAAAGGCCTGGTCCCTGGTTTGAGGTCATTGTGAGRTGGGTGAAACCTTTCAAAGATGGAGTCAGTCAGAGATATTCCACTCATTGGTACCATGTCCTTAAACAAGGTACTGGGATCTCAACCCTTTCTTCTTTTTCACTTTCACTTTTTGAAAGAGATGTCAGTTGTTTTGCTGAGTCATGTGTATATGCTGTGAAGTTCTCACTACCACAGACACTAAGAACAGGGCCCTGTAATCATGGATCAAAACCTCTAAAATCATGGTCAAAAATCTTTTCTCATTATAAGGTGATATCTCAGCCATTTGTGACTGAGTTAGCTTAGGATAAAAGCTGACCTTGAAAGGTGTCACAGCAAGATACTCAAAACAATATACAACAATGCAGTGGAACCATTAAAACAATATATTACAATTAAAATTGTGTGAATATKGTCTATCTCTTTTTTTTCCCTCCACATAGTCTTACTGGATTCTAATCGTCCTTTTCCCACACTGAAATTTTTAATGGRAACCTGAAATAAAGGGAAATTGTGGATAGGGGAGATTACAGTATGTGCTCTGCTCACCCTATTCGTAGAAACAGAAGTAGAAGATGTAGTCCAAGCATGGTGATTATGACATCCAAGAATGAGCAAAATCAAGAGAGGAGAAATGGGGGCTGGGGGTGTGGCTCAAGCGGTAGCACGCTTGCCTGTTATGCGTGCGGCCCTGGTTCAATCCTCAGCACCACATAGAAAAAAAGGTGTTGTGTCTGCTGAAAACTAAAACAAAAAATAAATATTAAAAAATTCAAAAAAAAAAGAGATAGGAGAAATGAAGGCCACCTTCAGAACAAATRTCTCCAGTGAATTGTAARAACCTTATTAAATTAGACTGGATCTATATGCTGTTTTAACATTGCAGTACAGTAGGGGGTTATCTTCCATTCTCATCATTGAGAGAAATACCAGAGTATGTTTTCACAATCAAATTGTGAACTTCAGACATCCACTGAAGGAAGCACTGAGAATGATGAGACCCAAATGCTCCTCTGACTCACAGGAAGCACAAGTCTAAGTGGACCCAAAGTCACCAGCACAGTGACAACATTGTGATGCTGAGCTGGCCAGAACTGCCCTCCACAGAATTCTGAAGAACACACATCTAGGTTCAGTSATGTGACACCAGAGACCCACAACAAATAGAAGAGTGTTACTTCCTCTACACACACCAGAGAACAAATGCTAAACATTATTTTGCTGTTTGAACCAACTTTTAGTTTTCTTTGACTGGAGTAACTCTAATCCAGCACAGACAGTTTCATGTCCCTTGAGGACTAAGTTGAGAGAAAGTAGATGGCTAAGGATCCCCAAGAGAAAGAGAGGGAGAGTCTTTCCAATCATTGCTCCATTAAAACACACAGCTGAAAAGTTTCTCCACCCAGAGTCCCTTTCATATGCAATGAGGAGGACACCTTCTCACTGAAGTTCTCACTGCAGAAAACAAACTGGACTTCATTTTAGAAGTAAGGTAAAATCCAAAGAAAGTTCATCAACAAAAGCCTGTTTCCAGTAGTGGTAGCTCTGAGTAAGTATAACACAAACCGATGTTGGAGTTTTCATTTTTTCATCACACCCACTAATTTAGAAATTATTTAGCATATATATATATATATATATATATATATATATATAATTTTTAATTGGTGCATTTTGATTTTGCAGAAAAATAGTTTCATTGTGATATATTCTTACATGTAAACAACATATCAACCACTGTTACCTTTCCATCCCCCACCATGCTATAATCATGCATGCACAATTGGTTGGATTCATTCCACAGTCCTCCCCTTTTCCCATCTTTTCTTCTTTCTCCTCAATTCCCTTCATCTGTTCTACTGATTTTTCCTGTTTTAAAAAACAGTTTTAATTTATCCAGTGACTGATTAACTAATTCCCTTCCCAAAATATTTATGGAAATATCATCTAAATTCTAATTGTACTCATTACCTCCTGGGATCATATGAGATATGCTCTATAAATTAAATTTATTTGTGATAGACCCACAAAAGGCCTTCAATAGTATTAGCAAGTAATCATATTTGACTTTAGATATGCAACAGATCTGGAAACAGACTATTGAAAAGGCAGAGCTTGGGGAAGAAAAGTGACAATGGCTTCTTCAATTGTTAAGATGGAAAAATGCATACATTGAAGGCAAAAGAAAGAAAATGACAATAGAAATGAAGAGGAAGCAACTGAATTAAATGTTTGGATATAAAAACTGAGCCCTGGAGAAGCAATCTGGAAGACGGACAAGAGYGCTATCGGGTGACTATTGGGTATTTGAGAGAATAATTAAGACATTTATAAAAGCATTGTTTATTCRAAAAGACTGTGAGTTGGAGTTTGACAGGTTGATAGGAAGGTTGAGCTGGAACTTTCTATGTATATCCCACATACAACTCTTGACACAATACTTTGGATTCCTGAGATAAAGGAACATGCAAATTTCATCTGCATGTACTATTTAAAATCAGTAAGACTGATATTGAATAAAAATATAGGAATAGTCCATGAATCATCAAATAAATGAAGGATGAGCAGAAGGGAAGTGACCATTGTGTAATAGTAAGAAGTACAGAACAGTATGAAATAGGCCCAATTTTGTTACATGCACGTGTGAATGTGACACAATGAAACCCACTCTTTTGCATTATTATACACTAATAAAAMAATTTTTAAAGAAATGGATAAAAATTCAGAATGAGCTATAATAGAAACCGTTTGCATTCTGSTGCAATTAACAGAAAAAGAYGTTTATAGTGTAYGGAAAAAACTAGAGATCAACTTTTTCTCATTAAAAAAAGAATTTAAAGACTCTTGATATCTTTTGTTGGTTAGCTTAACTTACCCTTTGAGTCCTACTTTCTTTCAAAAATTTTCAATATGTCATTTGTAGTATATAACATTTAGAACTTCACACCTGTTGCACCTTCAGGAATAACAATAGCATTAAATGAATGAAATGATGGGTGAATGGAGTGCCTGCACCATATGAAACTTTGTTTCTGCATCAAATGCTCAATGTTCAATGAATCAGTGGCTGTAACATCAGGATTAGAAAAAACACATTTATGTTCCTAATCTGAGATAAGGAATTTCTTCAGAAATTGAGCGATTTCAGCCAAAAGTGTGAACAAAGGGAATTTCATTGACAAAAGGCAGGAAGGAGAGCAGCATTATAAATCCAAGAATCCAAAGACAAGATTTGTTTGTTACAGAAACAAAGTCATGATAATGATAATCAAATCCTACMGCTACATAAAAAGAAATGATGACCCAAAATGGACAATGGCATGAAATATTCATAATTCAGATTTCTTCACAAGAACTAATGCATCTGTATAAACTGGATTATTTTAATTTATGTTATAAACAAAAAGTAAGGATTGCCAGTAAAGGGTTGGGTGRAGTAAGGTGTAATTAGAAAGGGTCCACCATACAGCTATTTCATATTTAAGTAGAAAGTTTGCTGCATTGATAGGAGTAAACAGAATTTAAAGGAAATACAATTCAATGATATCTGGGCAAGTTCAGAGTGCCTTGAAGGGGCTATCCTTGCACCAAGTTGAAGAGTATGGGTTACCGGTATCGTACACCTCTGGATAACAAATCATGGCTCTAAGGGCTTATCCATTTAASACTCAGATTCTTCATTAACACAGTGGGTCTCATTTAACAATATCTACACATGAATTGTGTGGTTTTAAAAATAATGAAGTGGTTATACCAAAGCTCTGTATGAAGGATGAAAATAAGTATTAACATTAATATTTAAAGAAAATTTTTGTTCATTACCAGGTGTTCATATTAATTTAATGGTCATAAGTAGCCAGTGCTGATGCCCACACATTGTGTGAATAACAATCTTGACATGTAAATTTCTACTTCACTGGTGAAATATATATTAATCAAAAAAAATGTGTCTTATTGCAGCAGAATAGTATGAGAACACTTTGGTTAACCTGAGATCATTAGGCTGGGAAAACACCCAGAAAGAATTTAGAAAACATTTCCATAAATCCTAGAGAGGCAAAGCAAGCAAAAAAAAACATTTCTGGTCATATAAAAAAGGAAAGAAATTATTTTATTGCCATATACTATACAGTGTAATTTCCTTTTAATTGAATCACAATAATTTGCTGTTTCTATTACTTTACTTATTTACATGTTTGTCAGTGAATTCAATGATTTTTAACTAAGGGTTTCTGGTGCACAGAATGGGAAGCACAAGTTAATACCACAGATTCTGATTCTTCATCATGTTCTATCCACAGGTGGTTCAAAACCAGCTTTTGTGACCAAAGCAATGGATGGACTGAATAGCTCTGTGGTTTCTGAGTTTGTGCTGCTGGGACTCTCAGGTTCTTGGGAAACTAAAGTTATTCTCATGATAACATTCTCCTTGCTCTACTTAGGGATCATCCTGGGAAATCTCTTCATTGTCTTTTTGGTTATTGCTGATTCTCACTTACATTCTCCAATGTACTTCCTGCTGGCCAACCTGTCCTTCAATGATGTGGTACTCTCCTCTACCACAGTTCCCAGGATGATCACAGACCTGTTAACGGAACACAAAGTAATTTCCTTCCAAAGTTGTATGACACAGACATGCTTCATCCACACAATGGGAAGAGTAGAGATGGTGCTGCTGATAGGCATGGCATTTGACAGGTACGCAGCCATCTGCAAACCTCTCCACTACTTGACCATCATGARMCCCAAAACATGTGTTCTGTTGATAGTCATCAGCTGGGTAACAGGAGTGATCCATGCTATGACTCAGTTTTCATTTGTTATCAACTTGCCTTTTTGTGGTCCTAATAAAATAGACAGCTTCTGTTGTGACTTTACCAGGATCATACAGCYTGCATGCTCTGATGCAGCCACGTTTGAGTTTGTTGTTACTGCCAACAGTGGTGTCATAACCATAGGCACCTTCTTTCTGCTTCTCCTTTCCTATGTCTTCATTTTGATCACTGTCTGGAAACGTTCCTCTGGGGACTTGTCCAAGGCTCTTGGCACATTGTCAGCTCACATCACTGTGGTGGTTCTATTTTTCACTCCATGCATATTTATCTATATGTGGCCATTTCCCACATCATCAGTTGACAAATACATGTTTATTGTTGATTTTGCTATCACGCCTGCCTTGAATCCTGTMATCTATACATTCAGAAAAAAAGATATAAAGATAGCAATGCAAAGACTGAACAAGAAGTTTCATTATGACAGATTTTGCTGATCATGGGCACCGAAACCGTACATCCACCTGCCTGCTGGACATCTACTCTTCTGCATTTGCCAGTTAACATGGCCAACTGAATWTGACAGCTACCTCAATGAGTTGTGCCTACCCATAGTAAGACTATGTGTTCTCTTCCTCCAGAAGAAGCGTTTGCTCATTTCTTTTTAGTAACATTAAAAATGAAAATCCACTATAAAGTTTTAGGAGGAGAAAGAATTTGAATAAATAAGGTTATATGAATTAACTTGTGATCATTTGGGCATAAATATAATTACATCCTTTCTGTTTCACATAGAGTGTTAAGTAACCTCAAACTTGCTTTGTTGAACACAAGGAATCATCTCAAATATATAGATATTTGRTATGGTTATATAGATATGGTTATATAGATAGAGCTAATTCTAATTAGTTGCTCAAATCCATTCCCTCCAAATAATATCTGAGACTAAATTTAACTGCACATAGTTCATTTGTAAGCAGTGTTTTTGAAAAATCAGTGAGGAGATTATACCAAGAAAGGAGACATGCATATGTTCATAAACATATTGGGATGCAAACTCCTGTGACCCTCTAGGAGGCTATCGAGATTCTGTAATTTAGTATTATCTCAATTGAATAAATACTCTGATTCTCTACTTTGCACAAGCCCCTTAAAACCAGAAGTTCAAGTGTCTCTTCAGCTATGAACTKATTGAGCAAGACAGTTGGCCACCTATCGTTTCAGTTACCACAGATGTCACCATCTGACTTCAACAAAAGTCATTTGATTTCTGATATACCAAGAGTCAGCTCTTAGTTCCTGCTCAAGAACTATAGACCAAAATAAAGCAAGAAATTGACCACCTGAAAAAAATAAATAAATAAAATGACCTCAAAGATATAAATTCTATTACATTCTCATGTATATAATTGTTGTAATTGAATTGCTGTTTTTCTTTTGTATTTAAGAATAGGTACATTACCAAATGATGCTCTCACTTTAKAAACTCAAAAACTAAGAAGTATCAAGTTGTCCATATGCCTATCTTATCTAAAACACATAACTCTTAAATTCATCACCCCAGATGATACCATCTGTACTAAATATGCCCAACACTGACAACAACACTCTTAATTAACACCATGCAAACAAAACTGTGTGGCTTGTTTCTCTGGGTTGAAAATATATTTCAAGCCCTAGTCACATATAGAATCAGCATTATTCATGAAAAAGATCTGATCACAAACAAAGATGTTAAGGACCTATACCACAAACTTAATCATATTATCTTAATGTAATCTGTGTTTCACATTCTTCCTCATATTTAAAGCAAATTTCTGGTGAATTTTATATCAAATTCCTATATACACACAATGAGGGATCCAAGAAGTTTTATTAAAATAATTCAAGGTTTTTATCAAATTAAGTTTTGGGCTTTGAGCACTTTTTCATCAAATAACCATATGAAGAAAAGCCTCTGAAATGTTATAAAAATTAGTTATTTGCCATGGAAAGGAAAAAAAGCCACTAGGCCTACAGAGTCTGGATGACACCTTAGTAATAGGAGCCAGAGCCCTTTAGATGTGCACCCCAGTCATGCTGCCTTCCGGCTCTGTGTCTTCCAACAAGTTGCACTTCCCCAGATGCAACCTCTTCACAATGAGGTACACTTTATGGGGATATTGTGAAAATTAGGTCAGACAATATGTGTGGAAACTCCTGGCATGTTAGGCATATTCAGATGGTCTGGTTTTTCTTGTAAAATTCCACATATTTATACTCTGTCTTTAGGAGGAGTTCTGCCTTGAAATATTTGATGACAAAAATTAACAATGGGAACATGAAAATATAACTTCACTACCTTCAGCACCTCTTCATAATAAATTAATCACACAGAATTCTTTCCCTGGTTATTAACATAAATTAAATTTTATAGCATTGTTAATAGTCAATTGCAAATCAATACAAAGTATGAGTGACACCTCTCAAGGAGACTTGAGAGGGTGAGAAAGCAGACCTGGGCTGTGGGATAATCCACAGTGCTCAGGAACTCTGTCATCTGATGTGTCCACCTGGAATTAGGTTGTGTTCCATGAACACGYCCATTAAAGTCCTTTGACTTCACAAGGGAAAAATTGGTACTTTTACATTGAAATTATTTAATTCCAATTTCTTGCTGTCAAATTTGCCACCTACCAGTTCTATTAGTGATACAAAATGTCACATTTTCCACAGCATTATGGAGAGCCATACTGATTTAGAGAAAACTTCTGAATGAGTTGCATCAATACCTTGATACAAATGCTTATGTATATAATTTCTTATGTATAATAGCCATACATTTCATCTTTATGGACATAATTCTTAAAAGAACTTATAGGATTAAGTAAACCATTTGACTCAGCAAACCCACTCTTGGCTATTTATTTATGTATCACAAGCCCATGAGTGTTCACACAATTTTATAATTAACTGCTATATGATGGACATAGCCCAAATGTATTGAAGTGGGAAATTAATGAGAAAATATCCATGTAATGGAATGTGACTCGGCAATGAATAGAAATTACTAGTACACACAAGCAAGTAAATAAATCTCAAGTGAAGAAACCTAGACTCAGAAGGGAACACATTGGATGGTTCTAGAAATGCAACTCAAAACCATAATGAGAAAAAAAAACCTTAAACTGTTAGGATGTATTCTATCAAAGAATAAAAAGAGAGAAAAAAGAAAGAAAGTAGAAGAGATAGATCAGATGGGCCAGGATGCCTATAATACTCACTACTGGGGATGCTGAGGCAGGAAGATCCAAAATTCTATAATCAGCCTGGGCAAGCTAGGGAGATGCTATATCTGAAAATATAAAGTTCTGTAGCTCACTGGTACACYATTTGCCTAACATGGTTGGTGTCCTTGTTTTTATCACTAGTACCAAAAAAAAGAGAGAGAGATCAAGTTCTGTTGAGCATGTGGAAAAAGGGAACTCATTCATACAGTACGTATGCATCCCAGTATAAAGGATTGACAAAAATTAGAAATAAACTTACTGTATGATGCAGTAATCACAGTTGGATAAGTATGCAAAGAAATGAAATAGGAGCCTCAAAAAGATATCTGTGTTCTCACTTTCATTGTATCATTATTTCTCAAAGCCATAACATTGTTACCTTTAGTGTCCATAAGTTGATTAATGAATAAAGAAAATATGGCACACATAAATACAATAGAACACGATTTATCATGTATAAAGGATATAATGTCATGTGTCAACATGGATGAAAATAGAGGTCATTAAACTAAATGGAAAAAAGCCACAATCAGAAATAAAAATAATAATATATGACCTAATTTATATGTAGAAACTTTTTTACGAAGCTTAATAAATAGGAACAGAGGGGAAAAGTAATTAAAGGAAGGACAACTGGGAGGAAAATAGTAGTGAGTAAAAGTTTTAAAACATATTTTCAGGATGAATAAATTTAGGGAAATATACTGCATGAAGACTGTCATTTATAATATTACATGCTGAAAATTTATAGGTGTTGTCACCACATGCGTGCACAGATTCTATGTAGAGTGATAAGATAATGTTAATTTGTTTGAGTATATAAAACACTTCACTCTGTATATGGGTATCAAAATATGCTTTTCACCTTGAATAGATACAATAAAAGCACATTAAATAACTAAAACAAAAACAAAACTGTAGGAACAATAATTAGAGTCTGGGTTGTCTGAGTTGCAGTGTGGGCAAGGTTGATTATGAGGTACCACAGCACAATCTGGGGTTTAATGAGATTGTTGAAAACTCTGGACGGTGTGATGGTTTTCCAAATGATATGTGTAACTGTAGAACTGTAAACTTAAAACTTTTCATGTTATTACACATAAATTATATCATAACTAAAATAAAAAGTATTACAGCCTCAATTACAAAACATTTACACTCTGTAAGGAAATGCTTTATTGCATCACTAAGGTCCTATTACTTCTTAAAGGTTCAGAGAAATCCTATACTCCCTGCAGTTTTCCTCTGAACCAATGAATGTCCTTGTCCTGGTTCTACCTCTCATAGCTCCTTCACTTCATACCTATGGAACATGGACAGGTAGGTAGCCTCATTTATGCATTTTCACATCTGTGAAAGAGTCCAAGGGTTTCATGGTTGAATGAGGCAGTACTAGGAAGGTTTGGAGTCCCCACCTGAGAGAAAGCCTTGAGTTTTTTAGGTTCTTTGACTGAGATAACTTTGGACCTGAGGCCTCAGGTGACAATAATGGATGGTAGAGCAAATAAGATCATGTAAAGCTGTGAGAAAACAAATGAAAGTACTAAGSAAACAATGACAGAGAGTTAGGGAGAGAAGAGGGAAGTGAGTAGATGGGTCAGAAAAGGTGCAAAAAGGTGCAAAAGGCAAATGATAATCACACATTTCACATCAAATTAGTTGAAAATAAAAATCGAAAACCAAGAAATACAAGGAAAAAAAATCTCCTTTGATGAATGTATATTCAGTAGTCCCCCTTTCCAAGAAGGATGCATTCCATGATCCACAGAAGATAGTCTGAAACCAACAAACCCTCATAACTTTGTTTGTTCCTGTACATACTCACCTATGATAGAGTAAATTGAGATGATGAGATTAGCCACAATAACTGATGAAGCAGAACAATTTTCACAGTGCACTGCAGTAGTAAGTTGGAGCTCTCTGCTCTCCCCTCAAAGTGTCCACTGTCCTATACTGACCTTTCTTTTAGGCCATGGTTTATAGTGGGGAACTAAGACTGTAGAAAGTGAAATTGTGGTTAAGTGAGGACAACTGTATATATACTTCTCATTATTTATAGAAATAGTAAAGGATGGATTTAATCCAAACTTGGAAGTTACAACTGCACTTGAATAAAACTGATACACAATGACCACATATAATTAATGTGCACAGTGTGATGAGATTGACTCATGCACCCACCTGAGAGATCATGATCACAACCAAAATAATACACATGTCCAGCACTTGCAGAGTTTTGTTGGGTTCCTTTGATTTTTTGTGATTTTGTGTATGATATTTTGAGTTGGAGGGGTAAATTTTTGGTGTTTTGATATTTTKGGGGAGTTGTCTTATAAGCTACAAATGTGAGATCTACTGACTTGAAAGATATTTAAGTGTACAATGTCATATTATTTAATCTGGACATAGTGTTGTATGGTGGATCTTCATCTGGAATAATTAATTCTATATGCCATTGAATGCCTCCTTCCTTCCCTCCCTGCCAGCACCTGGACACCATTATCATGTAGTCCACTTCTATGAGTTCCACCATTTGAGATTCCTCACATAATTGGAATCATGCAGCATCTGACCTTCTGTGACTGGTTTTATTTCACTTTAGTATAATACCCTTAAGATTCATCCATGATGTCAGAAATGATAGCATTTCTTTCTTTTGAGAAAGGCAATAATATTCATTATATGCCTACACAAATAAATTCTTTACTGATTCATCTGTCTATAAATACTTACATAACTTCCAGTTCTTGGCTATTGTGAATAATATTTCAATTAACATGAGATCAAATCAGTAACTCTTCAAGTTACTGATTCCATTTCCACTAAATATATGCCCAGTGGTGCGATTGTTGGGTCTTAAGTTAATTCTATTTTTAATGTTTTGAGGAATTTCTGCACTGTTTTTCATAGTTGTTGTACCATTTCATGTGGCAACTCACAATGTAAAATTTCCCCATGCCCTAACTAAAACATTTTATCTTTTATTTAAACTTTCTTTTCTTACATTGTAACTTGTATTTAACTAGTCTAACTTGCACCCGGCATTGAAAAGGGTTCAATATCACATGATGTCTTCAAATAAGGGAAGGCTGGAAGCTAAGGATCCCCAAGGAGCATGAAAGCAAAAGTCTCTCCACATACTCAGCCCTATTTAAAAGCAGAACTAGAAAATCTCTAGCTGTAGTCTACTCTTCACAGTGTGTATATACCACTCTGAGGTACACACACTATCACCAACACGGGTCACTGCAGAAAGCTAACTGGACTTGGCTTGAGATGTAAGGTAGAATGTAGGGTAAGCCTTGTCATCCAGAGAGGATCTGGTGTCAGAGCTGACTCCTGTAAAGTAAGTAAATCACAGACTATCTGATTTTAAACTTCCGCTGCATTCCATCCACTAATTTAAGAATAATTTTTTTTGGTTTTGGTGAGCATTTTTCTACAGTTGTATCTGTTATTTAGTTGAAGTGCCATCTGAAAATATTAAAYTTTTTTTTTCTTCCAACTGATCCCTGAGACCTTTGGACTCTTTACCGCAGTTTCACAAAGTAACAAAAAGACAAAGTCCTTCTATACTCTTACAAACTCCCAGACGCCCAGGTTTGAGAATTTGGATTACAGGTGATTTAATATTCCCTAATATTTTCTAATTCTTTTGGACTGTGACTTTTCTACCTTTTTCAAAGTATTAGAAGCTGCAGAAATACTCAGGCATTATAATTAATAGGATAATGTATAGTCAAGCTGAAAACAAATGATGAAATTGAAATTATTTTAATATAAATATGTTTCTTTTCCTGCTGTTATTGGCAATTTAAATTTATTTTTATTTTGATTATGTCTTCATAGAACAGAAAGTGTATATCACAAATATTAATTTTCCTAGTCTTTTCAAAATCCAGATTCCAATCAAATTCATGTCTAACATGGAAGTTATATTGGTGGCTTTGCCCCTCTCTAGCTAAACAATGGGGAAGTTAAACTTTCACATCAGCAAAATGGCAATAAATGTTGTTCTTATTAAAATAGGATTCTTTCAAAGTGCTTAACACAGAGCTGGCATATGATTGCTAATTGTTGAATTTTGAATCTTCCAATTTCTAGCCTAAAAATGGTAAGGGGAAAAAATACTGAAATTGAGATGAAACAAGAGAAAGACAGGAAGGAAAATAAGGAAGAGAGGGAAGGAGGGAGGAAGGGAGAAAAGGAGGGAGGAAGGGAGGGGAGGGGAAAGAGAGAGAAAGAAAGAAGTAAAGAAAAAGACAGAGAAATGAACAAAGAAATAAATAAGGGAAGGAGGAAAGGAGAGAAGGAAAGAAGAAAAAGGAGGAGACAGGAGCAGAGAGAGAAGAAAAAGGAAGGAATTAGAAAAAATGTACTTCGGGCTTTGTGGCTTATAAATATAAATATTTCAATGAGGGCAACTGAAATAACATGCTTGCATCATTCAAAAACAAATGAGCTTAGAATTTTATTATATCCCATGAAAGACTAGCTGTCACATAACTATCATTTAAACTAAGATGATATTTATCTTACCAATATGAGCCAAGGGCAGTCAATGTCTGACAACAGGTGTCATTGCTCAGGCCAAGGAATAAAGATTTTTGAAGAAATACACTTTCATGGAGAAATTCAAAGTGAGGAAATACAGTATATAATGATATAAATGTGCATTCAGCCTTTGGGTCACTTTTTGTACCTGAACCTCCTATCTCAAATGGTTTGATGATCAGTTTTTCCCCATACTGTCCTATAGACTTTGGTTCAATTCATTATCCTTCTACATACCATTTAGCAATAAATTTATGTCCTGAAACTTATCCAGATTGATTCACTTTGGTAAAATAAAGAGGCTTCAAATATATTTACTTCTGTGCACTGAGGGCAAGTCTTTCTGATCTTTCTGATTCTCTGCAGTAGAAGCAGATTTATGACTTGGAAAAACTGTTTATGGGGAGTGTTGACTACAGACAATTTTAATCAAAAAATTCATTTTTTGACATGTGTTTTTATTTAATGTATTGACCTGCATTTATACACKTTGGTAGCCTCTTGCTTAGCCACACATCTAAATTCAAGAAACATTTATTTTGAACTTCAAATTTAGTACAATGCTAAGATTCCCATTTTGTGCATGAGATGTAGTTTTCTGATCCCTGAAAGCTGAACATTAATTTCTTGTTTTTATTCTAGAAGTTCATCATTTTCTTTTTGGATCTCATTAGAGAAGAAAATACTAAATGGAAGAAGCAAACCAGTCTGTGGTGCATGAGTTCATTTTTCAGGGACTTTGTAACTCAAAGGAGCTACAGATCTTCCTCTTCCTCTCATTCTCCATACTCTACTTGATGACTGTGGTGGGGAACCTATTTGTTGTGCTRTTAATCATCACCGACCCCCATCTTCATTCCCCCATGTACTTCCTGTTRGCTAATCTCTCCTTTGTTGACTTCTGCCTTTCCTCAGTCACCACCCCTAAACTGACCACAGACCTCCTAAAGGAAAAGAAGACCATTTCTTTTGGGGGATGCATGAGCCAGATCCTCTGTGTGCATTTCTTTGGAGGAGGTGAAATGGTGCTTCTTGTGACAATGGCCTATGACCGTTATGTGGCCATCTGCAAACCACTCCATTACTCCAGCGTCATGGACAGACAAAAGTGCATCTGGCTAGTTTTGATATCATGGATCATTGGCTTTGTGCATGCCATGAGTCAACTGATTATGATTTTGGAGCTGCCCTTCTGTGGTCCCAGAGTAGTAGACAGCTTTTTCTGTGATATTCCTTTAGTGCTTAAATTAGCCTGCACGGACACTAATACTTTGGGAATGCTGATAAATGCAGACAGTGGTATTTTGGCAACAACTTGCTTCATTGTTTTGCTGGTGTCCTACACCTATATCCTGTTAACTGTCCGCCTTCACTCTGAAGGTGGTGCCTCAAAGGCCCTGTCGACCTGCACTTCCCACATCATAGTGGTGGTGTTGTTCTTTGGACCCTGCATCTTCATCTATCTGTGGCCAGTCAGCATCACTTGGGTGGACAAGTTTCTAGCTGTGTTTTACACAGTAATCACACCTYTGCTTAACCCAGCCATATACACGCTGAGAAATAAAGATATTAAGAAAGCCACAAAGAAACTAGTGAATCAGCACGTGAAATCCATGTGATATAGTTAGCACATATAATCAGAAAATCTATTGTGGCAGTCCAGTTTGTCTGCACTTTGGCCTGTAAATTAAATTGTACTGCATATATGACTTATTCTTATCTATGAGCTGTGAGTGCTCCCAGATGTATGGCTTGTGGTTTTCTTTTCTGTTATGGAAAATTTGTTCAAAATTCCAATACTTAAAATCTTGCTGCTTGGAAGGAATAATAAGTCTACGTTAATACCTCTTTGTACAAGTTCAAAGATTAGTAAATGATATAAAAATAACAATTTCCACAATTTATTAAATACTACCTGTGTTCTCAACACCATGTACACATTTTACCAAGATTATCTATAACTTACCTAATCACTTTGAATTAGTTATCATTATTCCTCTTTCAAAAATATATCACGTGGAAGCAGGAAATATATCAATATAAAATTCATTACTTTCCTCTAGTATAATTTAAAATTTTAGATATCCATGGGAGCATCCTATTTCTCTTTTACATATGTTTTAAAGCTRTTTTGTGTTCCATGTGGCTCAAAGAACATTAGGAAAATTTCTATTCAAGCACAAAGAAGGTGGTAAATGAACTTATTAGAAATCTCCCAATATGGTTATGTAATATCATCCACTATAAATGTCTTTCTAAGAATATTGTCAGGCTTTCTTTTAAACATTATTTCCCTGCAATAATTTGTTATTCAAGGTCCAATATGATATCTTYGTTTGTTGTAAATAGAAAAAGATGCAAGATGATTTATCCTTCCTCATTCTAACTTGGCTAGGCATGATACTAAAGATACTTGAATGGTCTTCTTCCACCTAGAGAACAAAATGACAAATGAATAAAAACACAGTACCATTGCCTTACCCCTAAATGACATAATCCCTTTAAGTTTTCAGGCATTATTTGTTTATATAATTACAGAATTTGCCTTAATTTTTTTAAATCCTTCAATAAAGAGGGAGAGGTGTTTGCAGCCCTTTGAAACACTGTTTCTTTTCTTGGTTAATAGAAAATTTTATACATAGTTTTATCTTACATGAATCAACAAGGAAGCCATGAGAATGGGGAAGAAGAATGTATTGATTTAAAGCAAAAGCATTTTCAACTGATAAGAACAAAGGCAAGTAGAAACATCAATCACAATAAATTGCAATTATGCATTCATCCCCTACAAAATCCAGATATTTATGGAGTTACAGGCTATGTACCTGACAAATTTTTTGCTTTCAGGTAAAAACCTCACCTGATAACAACCCCCACAAAAATACTCCAAACACACAAACACACAAAAAAATCATTCTATGAGTGTGTCTATTAAAATACACAGAGAAGGAAAATAAATAGCTTCTTTCATTGTCAGTAGGATTAGAATGAAAAGACCAGTTATATCTACATTATATGGTCTTTTTAGTATAATAGCTTATATAATAATTCATGGTCTATAGATTTTGATGATGATGTATGTCATTTTTCTGGTGAGAATTATATTTGTACACCTTTACAATATCTTAATTTCTAATTTATTCCCATGCATAGAAGAAAGTCACAGTTTCTTGGATCTCATAGCTATATCAATATCTTACAAGCTTAAAGTGACAATATTTATATTAGGAAATTAAAGGGCAATGATAACATGACTGATTTAACTGAGATATTAAATAGTTGTATTCATGGCTTCCCCAAACCAGATGCTTATAGAAGCATCACTCATATATGTATGTGAACATGTGGTGACTTCTTGGAATGGTTTTAGATGAAATTTCTCAAATTAGCTCTTCGATGTGGCCCTTTATTGTTAGAAATCACTATAGCTTCAAAAGTGACTTGAAAACTGCATGTAACTTCCACTTCCACCTCCCTGTGTACAAAACATAACAGTAGGGGATCCTGACTGCATTCTTACTAGAGTGTATTAGTAGTTCTTGAAAATTGCAAACCAAGGTCTTACTTTCAAGACCTGGATATGTGTAGTAAGCTGACTCTGAAGTTTTCTGTGTTTCTCAGCATATTCTCAGGATATTATAACCAGGAGCCATCTCAAGAAAATAGTACCTACTGTGCTTACTGCTTTCAGAATACAAATACTATGCATTTTCCTATTTCCAGGACCTTGAGGCAACTACACTGACTCAGCAAGTTGTCACATGGAGAGTCAGTCTGGCCCTGGGGAGAGACTCTGATACAAACCTACTTAGTCTATGTAGAGGAAAATCAGACTGCAGTGGGAGGTGGAGGGCTTGGAAGGGGCTTCCTTTAAAATCATCAGATCAGGCCAGGCATGGTGCATGCCTGTGATCCCAGCAGCTCAGGAAGATCTAAGTTCAAAGCCAGCCTCAGCAACAACAAAGCGCTAAGCAATTCAGTGAGACCCWGTCTCTAAAGAAAATACAAAATAGGGCTGGGAATTTGGCTCAGGAGTTGAGATTCCCTGAGTTCAATCCCCAGTACCCACCTCCCCCTCCCCCCAAAAAATTATCAGATCAGGAGTCCAGGTATCAGAGGATGGAGAGTGAAGAGCCATGTGTAATGCCCTACCTGGTAGCCAAGTCTGGAAGTATCAGAATCAAGGCAGCAAATAATTACATGAAAAAAAGTTCAACATCTCTAGGGAAAGGTAGCTCAAAACTATACCTGAGATTTCATATTACACCAGTTAGAATGGCAAACATCAAGAATTCATATAACAGGGCTAGGGTTATGGCTCAGCAGTAACACACTTGCCTGGCATGTGTGCAGCACTGGGTTCGAGTCTCAGCACCACATATAAATAAATAAATAAAGGTCAATCAACAAATATTAAAAAAAAAGAATTCAAATAACAATAAATGCTGGCAAAGATGGCAGGGAAGAAAACTTATATGTTGTTGGAAGAAGTGGAAATTAGTAGAGTCCCTGTGGAAATTGGTGTGGAGGTTCTTCAAAAGACAAAAAAATGTGACCACCATAAAACATACTTCTCAGCTATAGTACTTCTCAGCATTTATCCAAAAGAACTACATACCCTTGATTATAGCAGCACAATTCACAATAGCCAAGTTATAGAGCCAGCCTAGCTGTTTATCAACAGATAAATAAAAATGTTGCATATCTACACAATGGAGTTTTAATCAGCCATAAAGAAGGACAAAATTATGTTGTTTGCATAAAATAGATGGAACTAGAGTGCATGATGTTAAAAGAAAAAATAAGCCAGACACAGATAGTCAAAGGTGATTTTTTCACTCATATTTGGAAAACAGAGAGACAAAGAGGATAAAAAGGAATAGCATGAAACTAGAAAGGAGACCAGTAAATAAAAAGAAGGAGGAAAGGGGTAGAGAAGAGGGAAGGGCAAGGTGAGATCCTAGAGAATGAAGTATGTTATGTGCATGTGCAAATGTGCCACAATGAAACCCACTACTTTGTATAATTATTGTGCACTAATAATTTTTTTTTTTTTTAAGAATCACGGGCTGAATGTCACATGGCTTTCACTACTCTCCCTTCACAGTGCAATTCTTTACTAACTCCACTGCCTCTCTCGGCCCTCAGGAGCTTCTAGGGATACAGCCCTGAGCTGACACTAGCCCTGCCTTCAGAGTATGCTGCCCAGAAAGCTCCAGAGAGAATCTGTACCTGTGGAGCTCCACTTCTCACACTAGCTCATTCCATCTTGCAAAGCAGCTAGTGACAATCCAAATAGCTTCAGCTGAAAATCCGTCCTTCTGGTCACCAAGCGAGTATCACAAAGGAAAGAAGAGGTGGGTGCCAACCCCTAGTCTTTGCTCTGTCCACTGGGTGCACAGCCCAAGAAGACTCAGAGACAAGCTTTGATCAGCATAGATGGTAAGCATCCACTCTCTCCACTTCATTCAAGCACCTGGATGGGAAAGACATTTTTATCTTCTAGCAGTACTTTTTTTTTTTTTTTTTTTTGCTGTAGCTGAGTTTTCTATTTCTTTCTTCCCATATGTGTCTCTTATCCTCTGTTTATATTTTTAATCTTTCTTTTTTCTTCCTTTTTACACTAGCATATGATCCAGCTATACCACTCCTGGTTGTATACTAAAAGGAAATAAGGTCAGCATAAAAAAAGTGATACCTGCATATCCATGTTTATTATAATACTGTTCATAATAAATGGAATCAGACTAGTGCCCATCAACAGATGAATAGATAAAGAAAATCATATACATATGATATGTATATATTTTATTCAGCCATTAGGAAGAATGAAATCACATCCTTTATAGCAAAATGGATGGAATAGGAAGATGTCACATTAAATAAAAGAAGTCAGATACAGAAAGACAAGTATCACATGTTTTCTTTCATGTTCAGAAATTTTAAAAAAACATCTGAAAAGGGTCCATGKATGGGAGGAGAAAGGGAATGAAAGGTGGGAAAGAAAGGGTAGAAGGACATGACCAAGGTACCAGATATGCATTTATGGAAATGGCACAGTGAAGTGGTTCAAATAATGTATTATTAATAAAATAATTAAGTTTCTTAAATAAAATATATTTTAATTAAAAATTAAACTATCTTTAAAATAAAAACTTTTGGGCTGGAAAAATAAAATTCCATGTATCAACAAAACCAGTTCATTACTTCAAAACAATCAAAATTGATAAAACATTAACAAGACTGATCAAGAAAGAAAGGAACAAGGCACAAATACTCAGWCAGGAATGAAAAAGAATACCATTCTACATAAGCTTTAATCCTTACATATATTATAGAATAATATATGTAGAACTTCATACAAAACATTTAAAAATTAATATGAAATTGGAAATTTACTATTAAAAAAAACAATTACCAAACCCAGAAAATCTTAATGTATTTGTTAAATGAATTTATGTTGTAATAAAATCATTTGCTGTCCCAATTATTACTGACTCACCTCAAAAACTATATCTTCATATTTGGCTGCCTGAGGCYAGCCCTCTGTGACTATAAGACTGATAAAAAGGAAAGGACCTACTCCCTTCTGCTTCCTTCTAGTTTGGCTTTCCCTCTGCCTGCTGTGCCTACTTGTCAAAGCAATAGCTCACTCCTCTGGCAGGAACTGAGCTTCAGTTTTCTCACAGCCTCATCCTGTTCCCTTGCAAAAAACAGCACTCATATGCTGGCACCATGTCTTAGTCAGCTTTTTCACTGCAAGACCAAAATTTATATGCTATTCATGCCCATCAACATGTAGTGAAGCTTTTTAGTTTAATGTAATCCCATTTGTCTATTTATATTTTTGTTTCCTGTGCTTTTGAGATCTTGTCTAAAAAGTTGAGCATAAATTTGACTCAAACACTGCACAAAGAGTTAAGAAAGAAAAATTAATTCATTATTCATGGTCATGAACATAAATTTTAAAAAAGCAAGAAACTGAAACAATAAATATAAGAATACTACATTCTGAAAAGATTAATTTAATACCTGAAGTGAAAGGTTAATTTAAAAAATGGAAATCAATCATATGCTAAAATTAATAAGAATCAAACATCTCAATAAATATAGCAAAACAATAAAGTCTAATATGAGTTTATGATAGAATTTTAGAAATGAAAGCACAGAACAAAAATTCCCCCATCTGATAAAGGATATTTACAAAATGTCTCTATCTCAAG